TTACACGCAGAGAATGTTAATACGAAACTTTTTTTATTCATCTGCAATACAATTAAACAGGTGCTTTGTAAACAATTGTTTATTAACATTTGCATATTATTATAAACAATTATATGAGTGAATCATTTAATTTACAAAGTCTAAACGTAAACAAAGCTTGTTATGTCTAAGTAACAAGTTTCTTTACAATTGTTATTATAAAAATATACTTTAACAAATAACAAATTACAAACACAATCATTAGTTATTATTTCCATTATTGGCTTCCGATAGTAAGTATAAAAATATCAGGATTTTCCGATAATTTCAATTCGCAGAAGGGTGTCAAAGCAAGGCAACGGCGCATAAACAAGTTTTGTTTTAAGACAAAAATGTTACCCATGTAAAGGCATGATTTTTTATAATGTAGAATGCTTTTAATCGATAAATTACAGCAAAAAATTGTTAAAACAACACGTTATAAACAATCCTATTAGAACAGAATCCAATTGAGCAAAGATATATCTCGTCGAGTAAATGCTAAAGAGAAATCTTTATCTCATTAAGAATGTAAATAACGATGCAATCCGGAATTATCTTCCTTAGTGAGATTTAACAAGGCTGCTAAGTCCATTTCACTTTGTAATAACATCATAATTGCCTTTTCATGCTGTAGTGTTAACAACTGATGTTCTGTCTACAAAAGCAGTTGTATTATAACTATATGTTTACATTGACAGTTCTAATGTACTAATTTACTTATATTATTAATGCTAAAGATTAGATAGATGGATGTTTGTTGGAGTTTGTAGTCTAAACCGCTGAACTGATATCGATGAAATTTTGCATAGATATAGAGATAGTCCGGAAGAACAGATAGGCTACTTGTTTTTGTTTTTTTGTTAAATTTCACGCGGTGGAAATCGCGTGTGAAAGCTAGTTAAAAATTCAGTTACATATGTTAACTTAAAGGATAAAATACACAAAAGATAGTATCTCACTTTGTCAAGTAAAGGCATAGAAGTAAAAAATTAATCAAGGAAGAAATAAACTGTAAACATAAAAATTGCTGTATTTATTTTTTAAATTGTAAATATCTTCATGTTTACATGTTAAGCATATTTTTTACATTTACATTCTCAGAGTTCGTAGTAATTCCCCGTAAAATTCATTCATACTGTCTTATTACGATGGTTAATTTTTACATACAGCACAGATTCATAAATAAATATTTACATTTATCTTCTTGTTCACAGTATTGCACATGAAAAGATACTTCCTCTACCTTCTTAGAATGTATGACATCTTAATTATTTTATTTCGAGTGTAACATAAGGAAATAACTTACAAGAAATGCATATAACAAATGAATTTGATAAAAAATGTATATTATCAAACAAATGACAATAACTTGACAAATTATCACGCAACCCATGCTAGGCCACTACATGGTAACTATGTCTGATGGTAATGGTTATGAATTGTCATTAACTGCCCGCATGCACGTGCAAACCTTTGAGTTGTAGGTTTATTAAATTGCAATGTGATTTCAAGTATTCAATGGTTTCAGTCGCTCTATCATACGACAAATCGACAAAAACTTTTAAATTTTATTAAAAGCAAAGATTTGATTACTTGTACTGAATAGGCTCCTATGTAACATAGACTGTATTTATTATTAGTTTTTTGTATTTCCATACGAACTGTTTAACTGGAAATCTAGCAAAAATTAAAGTAAAAGAATAAAGATTGCTAAATAATTCACAAAAGGTTTCGGACTTGTAAAGTGGAAATCCTATTTACTCTAAAAAGTAGATACTTCTTCCAACCTCAACCCTCAACCGCTCATGATTTTAAATGCGTTTTATTTATCTAGAGTCAATAATGTTTGTAATAAAATTTCCGTAAATGTATATTTGTAGTTTGGGCGATATGCGTATCCTCGCAGTATGATTCAAACACTTCACACACAACAAAGGCCCGGCCGGAAGTGAGTGTTGCCTACGAGAACATTAACACTATTTTATTTTTTTATTGTAGTTAACGCGAATGAATAATTGAACATGAAACGTCTTCTCTTTTATTGATGGCGACATTTTGACGTGACTTTGATTGATTATGAATTGATTTACTGTCTGTAATGATTGTTATTTCACTAAAATGTAATTTTCCTTTAAGGTCTTTACTCTGGAAAGGAAAATTTTATTGAAAAAATGTTCTTTATTATATTAAAGAGTTCTATTAAGGCTTTAACGCTTTATATTGCTAATACTCGTCGAGAAAATGTCAAAGTTATTTTGAACCGTTTTAATTATTTTTTAAATGACACTTAACGTTATGCGTCATTACGTTTTGGGAATGTAATGTGGGTCGTGGGTTCACGGGCCGCGTTCTGCCGATCGTAAGTCCAGCTTCCAACCGTTATTCATTGAGGCACACTGACCTCGATACGCCCATACCAATTGCCATGGTGCTTTTAAATCTGCGACCATATGCCGCTAATTAACGAAAACATTCCACGTCCGTACCGTCTTTTTAATCTTTGTTGCCTGAACTTTTTCTTTTAAATTAAAGATGCCTGTTATTTAGATTTGCGTTAAATATAAGGATTGTCGTTTCTTAATTCCAGATTTTAAATAATGAAATATCTATATCAATAAACTGTTCAATTCTTAGATTGTTTTTGTATAACCTTGAGCGACGTATTATCTGATATTTAATTTAAAGTTGTAATACTCTATGTGCAAATATAGTTCTGTATACATAAGTGAAACAATACTGCGGATGTCAACGAACGCGCCCCGTTTTGTGCACACCCAAAAACAAAACCAGAGACTAGTAAGTCATTTATAATGCAAGCTTTGACGCTTACCATTCGCTTGCACTCGTTAGTTTCTCTGAAACCCTCATAAAATATTTGATTCACTCTCTAATTCAAAACTTCCGATGAAAATAGTTCCTATTGGATTTTTGACTAGGCTTTTTAAGACAATTATGTTGTACTTAAAATGCCTGCATATCGCAATTTTATTACTAAAAAAATGTTAAATAAACCTTTGTTATCAGACATGATCTGAGATGCGACGCAGTCTAACCGCAGGTGTGCATATTTAAGGAGATATCATAAATCCGTAGACATTTAGTTACCATACAACAATAGCGTTCTTTCGGGGCTATTGACTGCGTCGGTAGACGACGACGTGTTCCCCGAAGCAAGAGGTAACAAAGAATGAGTGGATAGAGTGGCGTGGTACCAGGGCGACATGTGCCTACATTGTGATGCAGGTCACGCGACAAGCGTCGTCGGCTGTCGCCAAGGTCAGCTGTATCTCGGTCTCTTCAACTCCAATCTGTAAAGTTCCTTGCCCATGATTTTTTTATCTACATAACTTTATGCTTCATACGTTGAGGTGCGTAATATCAAAAGTAGTGTTTACTATGGTTCAATAACCATAGATTTTTTTATAGAATACAATTATCACATATTTATATTTTGTGTATGTGAGAGTTTTCGACGATTTCTTATAGATTTTTTAATCTATAATTTGTTTATGTTATTAGAGCTAAGTTTATCGTTAAAAAATCAATAAGTAACATTGCTAATTTTCTAACAGCTACATGTTTTGATTGGGTTGTAAATGTGTTTTTTATCTTCTAGTCAAATCGATATCTGGACAATCACCCGTGGGGATCCAAGAATATCGTAAGAGTTTGTTGTAATATAAAATATCTAACTGTATATATTCTGCACATACTTTACACAAAGTTTCAAGGTAAAAGAAATAAAGTTCAGTTTATTAAATTGAAAGAAATTAAATATTAAGGGTAAATTTTAGTATTGTAACATTTTACGTAGTTTAGATTTACACGTAAGAATATTTTAAAATGACGCACATTTTATTCTGAATTATTCATTATCTTAATAAGCACTTAATTTCATTTTGGTTTTATTCTTATCAATATCTCAGACAATAAACAATGGGGGGTGACCTTGACTTTGCAGTGATAATACTTTATTACAATAAAGATAATATACATATCGTTATTTAGATTAAAAAAAAAATAAAGTTTGGCGCATCAAATACATTAATACTAGTTCGTTAAAAAATATAGAATAATATTTTTATTAATCATTTTGTCAGCCTTAAAAACAAACGTTAAAATAATCGGAACGTTATAGTAAAAGCTTGTTTAATGAAATTCTTTAAACTTCAAGTTACATTTTCCACATTTCTTGTGTACACATTCAATAAATATAAATGTATTGTCTTACAAAGTTGAGAAAAAATGTTGATTTCATCTATGCAATCTGTCAACGAGAACAATGGAAGAAAAAATAATAATAATCGGTTTCTTCCAACAATAATAGATACCTTAATCTACAAGTGTTTACATATGACTTTGTTTGAAACTAAAATTAAAAAAGTAAACATTACTTTATCACACTCAGAGACAATTTGAAATGATTGTAAAAATCTTAAGATGTTGTTAAGATATAATGTTACGTAAGAGCGATACATTCACAACACACTAATTTACTCAGAACTTTTATAATTCATACACAGATAATGTAAAAAAAAAACCCACATACAAAGGTTACGTATAACACATATAGTTACATAGAGACCTGAGAATTAAGTTGCTTGTAAGCTATTTATTATCTTTGTCGTAGACGCTACCAAGTAAACAAATACTTCTTTATATAAGCTGTCTATTGGAGATTGATCCGACTTCTGAGATAGAGTGGTAGAGTCATTTTCTTTTTAGTAAAATTTACCAAGTGTATGGTGGTGGTGTTAAGAAGTAGAACGTAGTTATTGCTGGTTACATTATAGTACAAAATTATACATACGGCTAGTAGAAAATGATACATATTTCACGTAATTTTTAAAACCAGTAGTAAAAAGTGATTTTAAATATTTTGTGTAAAATATAAACTTTAAATCTTAGGTTTTAACTTAACCCAATTTTATAAAACTAAATGAGATTCCACTTTATTTATGTGTTTATTTTTATTTCAGATGTATTTAGCGCAGTACGGTTACTTGAGTCCATCAGTCCGGAACCCGTCCAGCGGTCACATTATGGACGAGAGCTCGTGGCGACGCGCCATCGCGGAGTTCCAAAGCTTCGCCGGACTCAATGCAACAGGTTTGACTAAATCTTATTTCCAACAATATCTTATAATATACGAGTAATTAGTACAGTATCGTACTAACATTAATATTTTACCAACTCTTAAAGCGCGTGTACACCTATGACTTTACTATTGCATAATTGTTTAGTTTCGCTTTGATTTCTATTCGCTTATATGGAGAGGCGCTCACGATTTGTAGACAACTAAACAGTTGAATGTACTGTGAAACAATTGACAATCGCATAACAGTCGTGCGATAGTTTAGTCAAAGTTGTGCGCCCGCTCTTACAATCTCCGAAAACAATCAGTCTCTCTAGAACTTTCGGGGTACTTAACTATATTTAACTGTAGGATATCAGACGGTTATTTTTATTAAAGTTACTTATAGATGTGTTGTAAGTAAACAGCTTTAATAGTTCACTAAGCATGTATTTGAGTTCGAATAATATAAGTTTTTACTCGTAATGTATCTTCGCACGAACGTCATTTGAACTCACGCAAAAAGTGTCAAAGTAAAATTACATTTAATACCACCATATGGCAATCTCGTGATGTTAATTCCTGTGTATTTATATACATCGTGACTATGTGCGTATTAAATTATACAGTTGCTGTAATAGATGTAATAAGTAACATCGGAGACTTGACCTCCTTATACTGCGACACGAGACCTTACACGTGAGATTAGCACTTTGATATTAATAATATTTTTTGCAAATAAATTCTGACAAATTATTTACAGATATCATAAAACATAATTAGGTAAGGATATAAATCTGTTGAACACCATACCTTTAATTAACAGTCCAATTTCTATTCTATTCGGCCTTCTACGAGACTCGTAAACGTAACGTACAAATCGCTGCGATGTGTTACTGATAACGAAGTCAATACAATCACGCGCCGTTGCTGGTGGTATCGTGGACTACGGACTGTCATTTAAATACTATTATATAGGTAGGTCTTGAAAATTCGCATTCATACGTGCCTTGGTATGGTAATCAGTTGTATTATAAGATTCAAGCTTTGTGACGGTTCGTTACCGGTATTCCCAGACGGGTATAGCTAAATATTGCGAGATCGATGCGAATAACAAAAAGCTTCTGTCCTTTATTCCTTTACGTCCTGCCGACATCTATAATTATACAAAAGTCACCTATGCTGGGAAACTACAAAACGTACGTAGTGATTCCTCGGCCCTTCAATCCGGTAATAATGAAGTAACGGCTCGAGCCGAGACTCCTAAGGGTGCCGACTATCTTAGTTACTTATAAAAGAGATTTAGGCTAAGCGCCATCTGCGCTCGACCACCTCAATTCCGTTGAACTGTAAATGCTCTTCGAAGTAAACAGTGAGAAATTACGTTTCGATATTAAGTGTGGATCGCTTTATACCATGAGCCCCTCAGAAAGACACTATTATGTAAGCAAATAACGAAGTATTATGGGCCACGTATACATAATTCATGCTGAGATGCGGCGCACGCTGTTTTAAAGAGTCCATTAAAACTAACATGTCTTATTGTATGAATAGAAAATTAGATAGCATGCATGCGTCGTGAGTCAGTCGCGTATGAAGGTTTTATGGGAATATATTCTCTATAAAGCAATGCGGCAGCATCCAACAAATAGAATAAAGCAGGAAAAATTTCTTGTATTTTTCCATTAGCCGAATACATTGTGTACGTGCTTATTTTGTTTAAATACTTCATTATACTTAACTTATGTGGTATATAATTAATTCGTAAAGTGTATCTATCATATGTAATTGAATTTTAAGTATAATTCGAACCGACTTTATGTTCATTACCGACTCGGATAGTTTTCCGCGAACTGAATTTGATTGTATAATTATTTCCTAGGCGACAATGATGTGATTGCAAGTCGGTTTATCTTTAGTATAAACACCGTTTTATAGCCGTTTGTATACGTTTTATATACGTTTACTTTATATGCTTTAAAGATCAACATGAGTATACAAGAAATTGTGATAAGTGATCTGTGAATCCCGTAGAAAATGAAATAAAAATGACTGACTGAATAGATTGTATATCCTATAATTGTTACAGGTGAACTGGACGATGAGACAGCAAAAGTAATGTCATTGCCGAGATGCGGTGTCAGAGACAAAGTTGGATTTGGCGAGAGTCGAGCGAAGAGATACGCATTGCAAGGTAAGTCAGAAATATGAGAGACAAGCTACAGCCCGCAACCTCTTCAGCGCGGAATTAAAATTCGATAGTACACTGACGATGTGTTCCTTCAGACTAGTTATGTACTGAGGCAAATTACATCAAGCCGTTTTATAGATATGTACATAATGAAATATTCACCCATATACGCAAACATTCGCACAAGAAGTTTAAGTATTTTTATTAAGTGTAATATTAAAGTGTTTATGTATACTTGTGCACACTCTCATTACCTGCTAAACATCCTCTCTGTATGAAATGGTTAGCTGTAATATAACTCTTATAGAGTTAAGCTCATCTGTAATACAACCTTTTGATTTGTATTTATAAAAAGACTAAAGGGATGTAAATTAGTGAAGGATAGAAATAGCTGTTTTCATACTTAGTAATATTTTTAACATCAGATTACATTAAAGTACTCACTCACAGTATAAATCCCGGCAAAAGTCAATCAGGTCATGTAACATTTGTTAACCCGTTGTCACGTGCTGAGAGCATAAGAACGGATAAGGAATTGCATAAGATATTATACTTGTAAATTTTACATATACGGGAATAAACGCCGTCTGCATTTTATATCAATTAATCGTAACCTCTTAAACGACCCGACAACTGTCGTCTTACAAAGTACAATGAACTGATAAAATCAGACCAAACAATCAAACAAAGATGTATTTTCTACATCTAAAGATAATAATCCAAATATTTATTAACTTACATATACATACATACGTGATAAAATATAATTTGGAGTAGCACATATGTTAAGCGACGAATTAAACGATAGAAAAACCTAGTCTAGTAATATATTATCTGTGGTATCAATATTCTATATTCGCTTCTCAGGTTCGAGATGGCGTGTAAAGAACTTAACCTACAAAATCTCGAAGTACCCATCCCGACTGAACCAGGGTGAAGTTGACGCCGAGCTGGCCAAAGCATTCTCCGTGTGGTCCGACTATACCGACCTAACATTCACACAGAAACGTTCCGGTCAGGTGCACATTGAAATTAGGTATGTTTTATAGCATTACTGTACCAGCAAGCTATGTTTGAAAACACTATAAACAAACAAGTCGACTTTGGTATAAAGCATTGCTAAAAGTATATTTTTTATAATGTATAAACCAGCGCTTGACCACTATCCCACCTAGACCAAAGTGAAAATGTTCTAAATGTTCTAATTAATTTGATTCGGAGATTTCAAATATAGTTTTGTTTAATTTTGTTCTTGTAACTTTTGTGTTTATTACGGTGTGTTATTTACATTTTGAGATAAAAGCGTTAAATTTTAAGTACATTATAAACACGTGCAATTTTTTAACTAAGATTTATTTCAACTCAGTGAGTGATCAAGATTTTGGTAGAATTCAAGTGTTGCATGTAACGAATCGATAGAGCAATTTCGTTATGTTACACAATTAGAGTATGCAATTTTTCGTTATAAATGTACAAAAAAGATTGATGTAACAACTCTATGTCGTTACAATGGTAATCTGCGTTGCGTAACCAAACAATAATAGTCGTCATTGAGAGCCGAGGCTGGCCGATGTTGCATCCACAAAACGTTTCCATTTTAAAATCAATTACGTCGGACACAATTAAGCACGAAATTTGTTTTATGACATTGTAAACATCCATCACACGAACATTTATTATAATAATGGTTGTAGAAGTTCTTATTAACTTTTAGAATAAGGAATCACAGTTCAACATATCGAAAAGTTATCTTTAGTAGAAGAGTTCAGAAACTCTGCCTTTCTTATGACTCTAAATCATAATATTTAAGCTGTGCATATACTAAAGAATTAAAAAAAAAAAACATTGGAATTTACGAAATGAATCCGGCTGAACAAAAAATAAACATCTATATGTTTATAACCTCTAAGAATCGTAAGATCCGTCTATAAATTTGATTTTTAGCGCATTACATTTGAAAGGTGTCGATAAACAACATTTTAAATTCTATTTGATTTGCTCTTATCTAAAACTATGTGGCCTGTGTTTTTAAAGTAATAAAAAAGCAGTTTTTGTAAGTCCGATAACGATGCAGCAATTCAATGTATCAAAAAGATCATCGTGAAAAAAACGAAAATGATTTAATTTCGTCACTGAATGTAGAATGTAGCATCTTTCGATGTTATAAGAACTATGACTAGTGGACCCGCAATCGCAAATTATTGCGTTATAAGATACTAGCTTTCACCCGCAATTCCGTCCGAGTGGAATTAAATAAAACAAAATAGAGTATTCCATGTGTTCTTCCATACAATCATATATATCTATACCAAATTTCATCGAAATCTGTTCAGCAGTTTAAGCTATAAACTATAACAAATCATCAATCTATTCATCAATCTCAAATTTCGCATTTAAATTATTTACTTAGTATGAATATTTGGGATTTTCAAAGGTGCATTAGAACCTAGAAAACAAAGCCTGGATAAGAGACAACAATAATTTATCACTGTAATGTTTTGTCAGAATGTCACGTAATTATAATTATTTTACCAGTAGTAGGGCCATTAGTGAGTTAGTACTCGACTGACGTAATGGAGTCAGATACAATCCGTTATTTTTCTTTAATTTAAATTATAACTATTCTGGTATTATGTAAATCTAGATTGATATAGGCTGAATAGATTGTTACTTAATATTGAATTCGAATAAGGAAATTATTAAATGAAACGTTTACGTTAGCGGTTTACCGCTAATATATAGTACCATTCTACCGATCTTTCTACGGTCAGTACTCGTGGTTATTGAATATTGATTCTGTTGGTTTTACACAATTTTGTTTGTAGTTTACGTTAAAAATGTCCATAATTATCTATTTCCAGATTCGAAAAGGGAGAGCACGGAGACGGTGACCCATTCGACGGACCTGGTGGTACTTTGGCCCATGCTTATTTCCCCGTAAGTGCTCATTTTAAAACAAAATATGTTGCGATACTATAAAAAACTAAGGTTCATCAATACTTTTTCATCTCAAACTGAATTTCGTCAATTTATGTCAACGTTTTACGATGCGGGGTTTTATACAGACTTTAAATGGATTTTTATAGCAAATACAAGCCCACTATTATACTGTTAATCGTCGGAAATAACAAATTATCATTATGAATGTGAAAGTGATGTTACCTTTGTTGGTGTAATTTGTTATACCGTTTATTCTATAAAAAGGTTTTTTTTATGATAGAATGCGGGAAGCTTGCGATAACATTACTGGGCAGTGAATTTGTAGAAAATCAAAGAAACAACACAGGGTTATGGTTCTGTTGCATTTTGTATTGCGAAATAAATGTTTTCATATGTATTTAATAAGTACCAAGAGTACAATGTACCTAATAGAAAATTGATTATTTTTTATTTAATTACAATGAAATTTTCAAATAAAATACTTGATTTAATTCGATTCAAGATGACTTTCCTTGAACAACAAACGGTAGGTTTATGAACTTATGTGTTTTTGATTAATATTTGTTTTTGATCAGGTTTACGGAGGCGATGCTCACTTCGACGATGCAGAGGTGTGGTCAATTAACTCGAGACGAGGAACCAATCTCTTCCAAGTACGTAAATTAATAAATTAAGATTTAGTGCTTATGTGTTCTTATATTCGCCAATATTATTATTGTGATCATTAACTAACAAATGAAACATATTCTTTATTATAACAATATTCAAAACAAATCCAGAAATTTGACTAAATTTTATAGAATAAGTTGTAGAGAATAGCTTTACTTGCTTCTCATAATGTTATCTGGCGCAAAATATTTCAATTAAAAACAAACTTTTATTTGAAGGTGGCAGCGCACGAGTTCGGTCACTCTTTGGGCT